AAGCCATGAGCGATTGTAATCTGTAAAGTTTCATTACGCACGATTGAGGCTATCTGTGCCTTCAACATAAGGATGGACAGCGAAAAACAGACTCCCCGAAGCGTTGGACCATCGCCTGTGAACACTTCATTACTTTTACATGGAAAAAATGTGTTGGGGAACTCGTCGCTACGTGTTCAAACCGTGGTCCAGGCTACAGGGCACAAACGACGAAGCGACCATGATGTTTTTGTACACAGTTAACACTGATGTCAAGAGTCCACGTTAATATTTGATGAACACGTCATGTGTGGGTCCACGTCCGCCTCAAACATTTACTTAAAATACGTTGGCATTTTTCCTGCTTTGACAGACCCATATCCAGTCTCCTACAACACTAGCAGTCGGAGTAAAGCGGCCGAATCGAGACGCGGGCCTCCGAATATAAACACTAACCAACCACCGAACAGCAATGCTCGATGTAAGGGACAGATGGATACAGGATTCTGGCAACATTGCGACTTTCACACAGCAGCCACCGCAAGCACAATTGAATACTATCCTGAACCAGTTCCATCTCAACCCATTTCCCTAAGGTATTACTGACGCAAAACTGAGAGCGGCACTTGGCCACGCACGAAGGGGGGGCTACTCTTTTGTTTTCCAGGTGTTATTCTGTGAGAAAATATCGGATCGATAGGATGGTTGCCTGATGTCACCGACCAATGAGCGAGTGACTAACAACTGTCATCGTTTCGCGTCAGTGATGCATCCAATCCTTCCTCTTCCTTTAATTTTTCAAAGTGCTTCTCAAAAAGCTTCAACACGAAAAATACTGTACGCATTCCTTACTTCATGTCCAAACAGAATTTCGCAGGGCGATTCAAAATTCGAACCGTTCGCCTAGTACTCGGGTGATCGAAACAAGAACGAGAGTGGCGATGTATGTAGCACGCACGTGAGAAATGACAAAAAATATATAAAGCGAGAGCCGAAGATTCATTCCACGTGGGGGCCGTGCCTATATGTAGATGGGAGAATAATATTAAAATTGAATTTTAAGTAATATGGCATGTGGACTTGATTCTCACAGATTTCAAGATGAAGGTTCCTCGCGTTTTCTCTACGGAAAGAAATATGATGAACTAGTGTGAACACAGAAACATTTGATTTATCCACGTTAAATCAAAATAAATAAATCAATTTCATTCGTTTGATTTATCCTGGACGGAGATAGGCGATGCATGAAAAACTGATCTGCATGTGGGGATTTGAACCTGGCGCCAATTAGCCCAACTTCAGCTATTATGCATTAAAACGAGAGCAAACCTGTGGCATTAACCACTTCCCAGTTGCTCCTTGAACCGGAAGTGGAGGACCAATATCGGACACTTCCGGTACCCAGTGTGCGGCCAAGATAAGCTGACCACACGCGCGCGACACCGAGACAAAACACTACAACGACCCCATCTGTCCCGACACGCTGTTTCGACTGGCGAAACCACATAACTTCGACGAAAACATAAGATTGTTAATGCGTTCGTAAGAGTTGGAATACAGAGGTCCTGGCCTATTTGAATTTACTACACGATGATTTGGGTGGACATGCTGAGAAAAAAAAACCCGAGAATAATCGGCACGTCGCTTAAAACTGCTGAGATTCTGGACGAATATGTCTAGTGTTGCATGATGGTCATTAAATCAGGTACAAAGACTCAGGGGAACTAAAATTTAATCATCGATATCCATGAAAAAACACGTCTCTCCACTGCACCTTGCAGTTTATCAAATATTATTGCACTAATCAGAACATGGCGCACACGGGGGATATGAGAAAGTGATGGAACATTCTAGCTGCAAAGCCTGAAACGAAGAGGCCTCTTAGAAGACCCCGGCGTAACTGAAAGGATATTATTAAAACGAATCTTAGATAAATCAGTTGCAAATGGATTAATCTCTCTCATGATAAGGATGGTGGCGGGCTCTTAGGAAGACGGTAATAAACTTTCGGGTTCCATAGAAGCATGGGAATTTTACTTGAGACCCGTGGAACCAGATGATAAAAGTATCGTCAAACATTTGGGAATTCTACAATTTCAAGGCACCAGTAATTTCAGGATGTCCTTAAATTATGCTGAAAGACAAACACATGAGACGGGACTGTTGCATTGTTTATGGAGCGAATAGTACCTCGGGGCTTTAATGCCCTCATCCCGGATACGGAGAGGCGAGGGGTGGGGGACAGAGTGCGTGCCAGATTTCTTTACAGCCTGGCGTTCAGGGGCCTAAAATCAGAGACACTTATGGTGATCCATTTCGTATCTTACGTATCCAATAACAATCACAAAATTGTAAACGGCGTACGGGTCCCCACTAGAATCATCACGTAAATCATCATTAGAGGCACTAATAAACCGATATGAGTCAGAGTTTGTAACATCATGATGAAATTAGGACGACATAAATTTTAACTCCCATAAACATCAAAATGGCGACCGTGCATACCCATCAGTGTTGAAATTTCGTAGGCAAAGCTTATTTAACATCAGTTTTAGGGATACTGATGTCACAAGCAGAAGGAATGCTCCGCGCGAGGAAATGAATGTGGTAAGAATTAAGAACATGGCTTTTCTAGATGTCTCGGGGCAGAATACACCGCACGGCTGTTCTTCATACCCGTCTCGTGAACACGACAAGGACACAAAATGAAACCAAAGTCAAAGGCGCAGAGGAAGTTGCCGGGGCCTATTTAAATGTAACATCCAGGATTTCGTCTGGGACTGACGAAAACTAAGAAGGAACGTTCACTCTAACCGATATTTAAATTGTGTCTGAATGAAAAATTCGTCAGGGATTGACGAAAACTACGAAGGAACGTTCACTGTAATCGATATTTAAATTGTGTCTGAATGAAAATCAGATGTGTTACCGGTGCAGCCCAGCCAGCTCGTTAAACCGAATGCAGACTTAACCGTTATATGCGAGAACAATGCGGGCAACTGAAGGATACCTAAACGTAAGACAAAATGACTTAAGCAGGCTTCATGGTTTCACTCTTCACCCAACATTTTAATGTGAAAAAATAAACAGGCGTGGGATTGGCGGAACACGTAACACGCGCGAAGTTCATATTGGCTAGGAAAATTATCGAGCAGAGATCACTTGCGAGACCAACGGACAATATTAAAACGAGACTTCGACAAATACATGACAATTTAAAATGTACTAAGCTGGTTCAAAATATGGCTCAATGACGGGCTTGTGTGATGACGGAAGTGAACATTTGGGTTTTCGCAAGCTCAAGGCATTTCCAGCTAAGCTGAGCGAACACAAATCTGCAGCTCGGACAGGCCATTCAGCGTGCGCTGTGCGAGGTCTGTTTCACGCACTTATGGTGCGAACTGTCCAGCAGCAATCAAATGGACCAGAGAACAAAGAGGCAGCGTGAGACGTGTATTCACTGGCATGATCTAGCGAGCACACGGTCAGGGCTCGGACTACTTCGAGGCCCCCTTGAGAAGATGGCAGTAGCTCAAATGAGCAACGAATTCTCCTCCTCCTCTTCTTATGGAATGGAATGGATGATTTAGTCACTCACGTGTGAACTGACCCAAACGATCCTACCGGCAGGTTCTCCTTACGATGCAAGAAGCCAGTCTTTGTCAGTCTCAATGTAACACGTACCAGCTAACTCTGAGGTACAGACAGAGCCTTCTTTGAACAGTTCATAGTTATTCAGTTGGTAGTGATTGTCTGTTGCTTTAGAAACCAAAAGATGCATCAGTATCATCACAATAGACTACATTGTACCCTAACCTCTGCTAGTTCAACCAGGTCTAAATTATAGGTTTTTCTCCAAGATCCTTTTTAGTAGCTTTCACAAGTAGTGTATTGGCGATGAAAACCCTGGTACGTACTAACTAACATGTAATGTCTAATCGGAGTCAAAATCCAGAAGATCAACATCGCCATGAAACAAGTTTCAGTCACCTTGAAGACTCAGCCGTGAATACCTCTCAATACCTTAGGTCACCGTTTCATATCACCATTTCTGTGTACGTGCCACGTCACAGCATCACAT